CCTAGTCGCTGAATTCTATTATCCATCTGTTCTCGTTCATACGCATTACATGTCCGGCCCATTTTATCATCGATAGATCTGCATATAAAATGGCGTCTTTGCTTCATCCGTTGACGTAGATTGGAGCATCGGATTTCTTCTTTTACTCGAATGATACGGGATTCTCCTAGCATCATCATTTCGACTGCGCGTTCGATAACGCTGAGTGACCTTTCATCCTGCTTACGCAGCGACCAGGTTTCTAACGCATACGTCAAGGCAGGAATTATCGTGAAGTCAAAAAGATAGGTACGCAGTCTAGTGTTCTTTGTTCTCCTCAATACATCCTCAATGCTCTTGAAAGCTCCCTAAGCCGCTAGCTTCCTCTTTCTCAACTCTGGAGCTTAGTCGTTCATCATGTTGACTTCCCGACCTAGACGGACATAGCTGAGGCATTCAGAGATATTCATTCCGCTAAGAGTGAATCGGGGGCGTGAAGCCATTCCGTTGTTCATGAACATCGTTTTTGTGGGATTTAGTCGAAGACCAATCCTTCCACAGGCGTTGTCAAAGTCGGCAACAATTTGTTCCACTTGGCTAATGTTTGATGTTATAAGAACAATGTCATCAGCAAAAAGAAGTTGGTGTAATTGCCGACCATTGATTTTCGCTCCCACGTCGTTCCTTTCCCACGTGTTCACATGGCGTTCTCGAGGGTGGTGATAAATAATTTTGGCGAGATAGCATCGCCTTGCCTAACCCATTTTTTGAAGTTGATGTTAGTATCGTTTTAGAATAGTGATATTTTTGTTGTGAAATTTTTAAATATCCCACAAAGAATCTTCATATACCGAGTAGGGACTCCTTGGCTGTTGAAGCCTTTCATGACTGCTGCTATCTCAACTGAATAAAAAATGTAGAGACCTGCGGTCCTAAACTTTGCAAATGTCTCAGCATTATTGTAAGCATATTTTACATCATATCTTGCCATGAAAAAAGGAATAGGAGGTAAATGAAAAATGACCACGTTGTGGAACAAAAGGTTACTTTAAATCAATGAAATTAAGATAGAGCGGTCACATGTACTCTCGCGATACTTCAGTGTGTCTTGTTATGGTGTGGATGTGGTCCATCGTACTAAATCTTTTTCGAAACCCTGCTTGCTCACATTGCTGTCCTTCGTCCAGTGTTCTGTCAATCCTGTTTAGGATGACTCGAGTGAAAAATTTGTAGACGACAGACAGTAAGCAGATTGGGCGATAGTTGCCGATATCGTGTAGGTCACCTTTCTTGAACAATAACACGGTCTTGCTGGTACTCCACTGAGTAGGAACCTTGCATTCAGACAGGTAACTTGTAAAAGTCGAGCCACTGTATTTACGAGAACTGGCAGGTTCCTCAGGTGTCCTGGTCTTATCCTGTCCGGAGCTGGTGTTATTCGATTTTTCCCCGAAGAAATAAAGTGTCGGATTTTGGAAGGGAGAACTGGTGGTACAACATATCCATCCTCCTTTATTTCATATCATGGGAGGAGGACGTGGCTATTGAAGAGATCTGAGTAGTATTCGTGAATGATATTCTCCATTGCCTTTCTGGACGCTGTAGTTGTTCCGTCTGGGTGTCGAAGTGTAATGATCTTGATTTTGGAAGTGGCACGGTTTCGGTGAGCTTTGAGAGTTCTTTTCTCAGCCTCTGCAGCTTCGGGAGTAACTACTGCTGTTCTCTTTTTCAAATCTTCCTTTATCTTCTGTCTATATTGTTTTGCACATTCGGATGTGAGTTCTTGGTTGGCGGTAGCTCGGGAATTGCACGCTGGAGTATCAACTTGAGTGTTTTTGGATGCAAACGTCTCTTGATGACTTTCGATCTATTAGCTTTTATAGCGCCAACACAAAGATGCTGACAGAGCCAATAGTTGCAATACCCTGGACCGCAGGTGTATTCGGTGGGGAACGAACGCGCTATTGTCCTTTTCGGGGCGTGGCGCCCACCACCACACCACGCGGGTCCTTCGTTTCGCCTGTCTCTCAGCTAGTTCTATCGATTTTTTGCCATCAGCAATCACCCGTCAGCGGGATGCCGTTAAAAAGAGTAGGCAGTAAATAATAAGTTAAAAAGAGCTAATAGTATTCTTTGCGGCATCTTCCCACCAGCCGACTAATGAAGTGAATAAATCCCAGTTTGTGGTGACGTAGCGAATTTTCCCCTTTTCGCGACAAATGAAATCTTGCACGAAGAAGGAGATGGTTTAATCTCTCATAGAATGTTAGAACAACAACGACATCGGGTGGGCAAAACCTTGGATTTACTATGACGTGATCTATTTCGGTCTATTTCGTTATGGTATTCTCTACTGGGACGGTTTCCACGTCCAGCCTTGAGGGTGGTGCTTTTGGATTTGCGAGTTACTACGAATGGTCTTAGTTATAATGACGAACTCAGACAGCCGCTCACCCTGCTCGTTTCGTTATAATCGGTTGGCTCCAATGTGACATTCTACAGACATTCTTCTGGGTCGAATTTTGGTGTTAAAATCTCCAGTGATGACCTTAAACAATGTACGACCTTCTGTGCAGAACTACTCCAAGTCCACATAGAGCGTTTCGAATTCGTCTTCGTCGCAGTTTTATGTCCGGTAGGTAGACGGCCAATATTATCAGAGCCGATAGTGACCCACATCTCTTCAACCGTATACGTCCGATTCGGGTTGTTAGTCGTTTATGAATCGATATTCATGGCCAAACTCCTGTTGACGAGAACGCTGGCGCAGCTGACTCCTTTACAGTCGCACCTTCCGAGGAACAGTTTTTCTCCAGTACCATGGACGGCATTGAACGGGTGGCGTCTTCTCTTCTCAGTAGGTTCGATGACGTCTTATCTTATCCTTCTTGCCTACATGATCCCCTATCATGCCTCTATCTCAGATGCATGTGAGCGTGCATTGTAGGCACAGATTATCACCTTAGTTTTCCGCGATTTAGGCAGCCTAGTATGGCGCTGAGATTTTAATACACACTTCGTACTCATCCTACCGAACAGTGCGATATCGTGGGCTTTTTCTTATTCAGAAGAATGTGGCTCGCTTGTTTTATATGTGCAGCGTTTGATACTCACACATAGCTTTTTGAATTGTGAACATAGATGCTGGGTATACATTCGGGTTCCTTGCCAGACTTTCCAAGGGTAGATGGGGAGCATATTTGTTGGAGGCGACCCCTAGCCACTTCCTATGCACTTCCCTTTTACTAGATTGCAGGGTTTTGGCTGAATTCACACGTAGAATAGAACCCACATAAAAGAGAACACCCCTATGCACCCAACGGTAGTTCGTACTAGAGGGAGTAGACATTTCTTGTGATGATTTCAAGTTCATTTCGTTGAAATGTCTTTTTTTCTCAAGGACGATATATTGTACTGAAATTGCGATTACTTTGTTGGTATGAACAGTGAAGGAGAACTATTCAACCTTGATTCCCTCAGAGGTGCCCCGCGTATTCGACTCCATTCGTCAGATCGTAGTGCTGACCGATTTCACAACTAGCCTATATAATTGCTTACGAGGCTCTAATGCTGTATAAAGTCACTTTTTTTTTATACTGTCAGGTATTAACTTGCTGATCGGGAAAAAGTGGTAGGCATTACATGGCCAGGGCGTGGAATCGAACCAAAAACCTCTGGATTGCAAGGTACTTCTAACCACTGCGTTACATGCACTCCTCAGAACTCACACACTGGATATTATGCTGTTGCTGTTGAATTTCCTAGAACGTCTCGTTCTCGAATTCCAAATGTTCTTGCTAGCAATCTTCAACTAAGATGCGGATCTTCATAAAATAGGTGTTCTCAGACTTTAATGTAGCCATTTTATGATCGTTTTAAATTTTAAAGTCATTCAGTACCCAACATTTTCACTGATTCCACGGACGCCAAGCACACTGTACAGTGCTCTGTCGTCAACGAATTCTTATGACTCTATGGTAACCAATTATTCTCGTTAGCTGTCCAATTAATGTCTATTACAACCGTATCAAATCAGTTAGCATTGTTGTTTACCCGACTGCCGGGAGAGAAAGAAAGAGATTTCGGTCATCTCGGTGATTATTCTTATATGTGATCGAATCTTCCGATCCGATAACTACTGTCGGAGAGCGCTTTCCTCATTTATCTCACCTCCTATCCTTATCCAACCAGTTGTCACGATGATGACCTTGATGTTGTCGGGGTCCGGTTGTACGTTCTTCATTCTCGTACCCTGTATGTACTACTTACTGTTCCGTGGTTGCACTTTTGTGTGGCACATTTGTACAATTCTACTGTTATCCTAGCCATCATGGCTGCGGGTCTGCATAATTTCCACTTCTGCGAGTTGCTACTACAGCTTTGGAGCGGAAGTACTACAAGGAGATAATTCAAAAGACCGACTTTCTATGAACCTCGGCATAATTACTTGGTATATTTATTTATATGATCTTATAAACTGATCTTGTTGAGCTGATGCGAGGTTGGTATAGGTCTTCGTTGTCGTTGTTGTTGTTGTTGTCGTTCGTGTTAGTGGTGTTGGTCGATGGCTGACGTCTCGTCGATATCGCCCTCCTCAGAGCCGTGCTGTTACGAGTAGGACAGTCAACTACAAAGAGAGTCGAACTCTTGATCACTTTTTCTGCAAAACATTCTTCAAATCCCATTTGTCTTTCTCCCTCTCTTTTCCTCTCTCTATCTTCTTGCAGAAACCTGGTTGTCGTATGGAAAATCGGCAAACGCTAGATAATATGATGCTTCATATGAAGTTTTCAAGCCAACTGTCTACCACATTTGTGACTTGCAGTTGATTTTATCCGTTTTTTTCCTTGTAGGAATCATCTTTAGTATCCGTAAGATTTTTTCCATTGACAGTCAGTGGAACGAGCCACACTGCAACTGGCAATGGCTCGTTTTCTGAAGTGATTCGATTTAAATATTAGACAACAATGTGAGATGGACAAATGTGCCAATAACAACTAATTGGCGACTTCTGGTTTTCAATGAATTCCACACGTAATTCACTTTCACTTAAGTCTTCAAATCTGAAAGGGTTTTTCGTTGATGACGTAGCAGTTCTGCAAATGGTTCAGAAGAAGATGAACGGTATTTTCTACAGTAATCACTTGTTGCAGATGAAGAAAGAACACATCGATGGATTAGTCGAAGATAAATTTCAACCAGTCCGCGATTCATTCAGGTATACTTTCCATATGGATCGTGTTCCATAGCAGCAAGTATGGTGATAATAAAGCAGTTTAACAAGTAATTACTATAGTATAATATTATAGTGTAGTGCAAGGTCGCGTTTAGTAGAGTCCATTAAGGGTGACGTACAATACATTCAGGGTCGTTGGTTCGATCCTGCGCCGAAGGTAAAACACCTTCAAAAATTCAAAAATTCGTTTGAAAATGATGTAGAAAAGTTAGAATGATCTCGCCCAGCAGCTTTTACTACTTTATTCAATCACAGATTGACAAATGTGATGAAGTACACTTGTTTCAGGCGAAATTTCTCGGATGGCTGGGAACGTGGTGGAGCTGCGTTTGCTGTTTATCATCATGGCAAGTTGGTCGTCGATTTATGGGGCGGATATGCAGACGAATCTTGTAATCGTCGTTGGAATGACGACACGATTACGGTGTTGTTCAGCTGCACAAAGGTTTCTTCTACAACTTCTTATCCTTTTTTGATGACATGTGTTAATACAAAGAAAATCTATGGGCTCATTAGCTTCGTTCTAAAATTATTTTTGTTATACAATGCGGAAGTGGAAATATGGAAAAGAGCCCAACAGAGGGTTTTCATTCCCAACTTGATCCCGTATTTCAGAGCTGGAGCGCCGGAGGCGCATTGGCTATACATACCATGTGCACGCTCGTTGGTTCAACCTCGCACACAACTAGACAAGTACCACATCCCTTCGGGGTTGTCATATTAGTACCAGGCATATTTAGGAGAAATTTTTTCCGATCTTCAAGGTGACTGCAAGTGGTGAGGATCTGCGTCGCTTAGTGAACTTGTTTCGATCCTGTTCGTAACCGGTTATTGTGTCGCATGATGTCATAGACTAACGGGACCTGTGTAGTGAGGCTCATTGGCGTCCTGTTGGATGAGCAATCTGAGGCTAGCTGGAACCACGAAGCAATCTTACTATGATGTTTTCATGGCTTCACCACAAGCTTTCGATTAGCTTTGTGAATCGAGTTGAAGTTTGCGGCTTTACGACTAAAATTCTACTGGGATGGCAGCAATTTTTAGACGATTAACCGACCAACTCATTGATGTGAGACGATGCATTGAGCCAATTATAAATATGATAATAAAGAAGGACAAACAAAACTCTGGCGCTGTTCAATCCCTTAGGGATGAACCATGCATTCGACGTCATCATGCGTCGCTAGAGGTTATTAAATGCATATCTGGCCCTGCCAATCGTTCATAAAACCAGTGTTGTATTTTCCTAGGCAAGTTTAGTACCAGTATGCGACCCCAGAGAGAGGAGAATGCTTGGTGAGCTTGCAGAACGGCATCGACCAGCGACCGATCCAGTGGGAATTGCAGGGGATCTCTAACCACCGAGTTAGTCGAGTCCATTATAAATATGACAGTATGGAAATAGAAAGCTTAGTGGCTGCCCGAAGTCAGTGTAACAAGCCGAGTCTCATATGCAAGTAGTGAACCATGAGAACAATGAAGGACATAGATATCGATTGAAACCTTTGGTGTGGAAGAGCCCTGTTCCTGTTATCTACTGCAGTTTCGAATTTTAAAAAAATAGACTGAAATTATGGAAAGTAAGCATTTCAAATTTGTTTTCTCACGAGCTGTCAAAAGTCGATTAGGTTATTCCAAATACGAATTATAGTGGTTTTTCTCAGCAATGCTTAACTTTTGGGACACGGGCAATTTAGTTTTAGAGTGTGGCCGCCATCTGCATGGCGATGTTAGTCGATCGAGGTCTGTGTGACTACAGTGATAAGGTGACACGGTATTGGCCGGAATTCGGACAACACGGTAAACATGACATCACCATTGAAATGATACTTTCACATAAGGTAAAACTATATGGTGATTTGATGATGTAATGAAGTTATCTTCTTAATTCATTAGAAGATTAACTTTCGTAGACTTACGTGGATTTCTTTTACATCCAAAACATGTCTTAGCACCTCTGCTGATCGTGTATTCCTTTGATAGTCTTCAGTTACATGGTATTCCTTACGGTTTTGTGATAGTGTTTGTGAACTGTCATTCTGAAGTTACGTGATTTAGTTAGTGTAGAACGCTCACGCCGTTTCGTCTCCATCTCTCTCTCTCTCTCTCTGTCTGTCTCTTTCTGTGGGCTTTCGTTTCTTGCTTTCTCTCTCTCTATCTCTCCGTATTCGCTCTCTTTGTTGTCTCTTGTTTATCATTACTTCTCCGCCTCTCCCCCAACTGTACTGCCTCTCCATCTCTCTTCGTATTCGTTTTGCGATCTTTTTTCCCCGGGTGGTGTTCTGAATCAAATCGAACGTTGCTTTTCCGTTTTATAGTTGAATGTTTAAAGTTTCTCAGCTCAGCCATCCTTAAGTGAGATGAACCGTTTGAGTTTGAGATATGATAACAATTTTACAAGTGGGTATGAGAGTCTAAGTTGAATATCTGGTCGATCGACAGCTTTTTCGAGACGTTTGGAAAGTGGTCTGCCTTCCTCCGTACCTTCTTCCGCTGTCGTTGTCTCAGTGTTAAACTGCACCGTAGACACATGTAAAGGGCGGTTTTTGTGGCTTTTTTTTTGCGAAACGAGTCATTCGGGACGACTTTAAAAAAAGAATCTTACAGGCTTTGGGCTTTTCCACATAACTGAATCATAATTGACTTACTTCGTTAGTTCTCAAAACATCAAAGAGGTCAGATTCTAGGGTGGGCGTCATAGAGACCGGAATGCGCTAATGTTCGATACGTGCCTTTGACGTGCCAGAATTTGCGACGTCACTTCTAAATCCGAAATGTAGTCATCATCATAGAGGTTGCCATTCAAGGACACAAAGACGTGTCAGATAAAGTGCACCGTCCGAATTAGAATAGTCAAGGAATTTAAAAAGTGCCCGTTTCGTCAACTCTTCAACTTTTCATTCATCAGGAAACCGGTCCTAATAAATGCGGCGGGGCATGCGGCGATTAAATTCTCCGTTTTTTATGAAACAGGTTAGCAGTATTGACATGTTTGTTACAGTTCGTTTTATTTCCTGATTTCTGAGATGTCGAGTTTTCTATCCTGAGTGGTAATCCAGGAAAGCCTCTATTTTTCTTTTGTAGGTCAGACGTTTAAAGACAACGAAGCTAGATCTTGTCAAAAGTGACTTCCATTTAATCCTGAAGTGAATAAACAATATTTGGGTTTATTAATTAACATAGCACGCTTCTTAAGAGTCATAAGGTGAGAAAAATTTGTTGTGGGCATCTAACTGCTATCATTACGGCACTCAAAAAGTTGAAAGCACTAAGGAGGACGTTACCCACAAGGAATAGTTTTTTGTAACAACTTCGTGCAGAGTTATGAATACGATAATCTACCCATATTCTCTTAGACGATTAAGCTGACATGAAGTTATTATAAAGGTTTTATTCTTAACGGTTCGGTTTCTTTGTCTTCTTTAATCTTTAAAACCGGAGTGGTTCGAGTTGACCATCCACAGCCGGTTGTGCAATAAACTCTCCTAGTAGGTTAGTTGTTCTTCATGAAGAGTAACGCGTACCCCAAACATTCCCCAAACTTTATCTTATTACTACGTTGTCGATCCGTCGAGTAAGAATTTCAAATCCATGACATGTTGATCCCAAGTTGCCAGCATAGGCATTCGCTGACAATCGTCGATTAGAGCGAGCTTCGTCACCTTATGACTAGGTTTCTTCAGTGACAATGACCATTCCTGGCATAGAATAACAATTTAGCTAGTATATTAGAATGGAAATGTAGGGAATGTTTCATTTTGGTGAACCCTTTGAGATCAATGGATTTTCACTACATATCACTGTTCGGAACTTAGCCCTTGAAAGAGCAGTTCGTCACCATGAGGTAGCTTTCAGGGTTTGGCGAAATGGTAGAAGGGCCGGGAGTCGATCAAGTAGATTTATCTATATTCTATTTATTTACATGACCAGTTTTGACAGATGTATGGGTTCCAGAACTTTTTTTATTTGGTTCACTGTCTCGCATCCATCATCCATGAGAGTGATTTCTGATTTGTATGTTCGCATAAAACTTGAAGTTTCAAATGATTTCAGATTTAAGATTAATTTAAATGGTGCCGAAAGCCAAGCAGTAAAAACATACAGGTTCATCACCTCACCTCTCACTCCTCTCACACAAAAAGAGCGCTTGTATGTAACATGTTTCGAACGGCTACCGGAATGTGCACAAGATGAAAGCAGAAGGAGGATTCTCGGAAATTGGCCCGGTGAATAGCGATTTCCAGTAGCTATGGAACTATGACTCCTGGTAGAAGTAAACCTAAGCTCGCAAACGACAACTCTAACGATAATAAGGTCCTGTTCACTACGTCCTTCATTTCCAGCGAAATAATTACAACTATAAAGCCTTGCCTAAGATGGGCCGCTCAAGAGGATTTGGCAACAGCGATTGAAAAACCACCGGACACTTTAAGACTCCAGCCAGTGCGTAACCGTCTATATGACTCTCTACTCAGGACGAAAAATTGTTCGATATTCCTTAACGGTAGAGACGGTGATTGTATGAGTTTGGGTATGGTTTATATGATCTCTTGTAAAACGTGTGGGGAGAACACGTTGGCGAAATGTTTGACCACTCTGTGTCCGTATAAAAGAAACACCTTGTCAATAAACTTGAAGCAGTCCAGCCAAATACTCCAGTAGGCGCGCATAGGACACAGGGATATAACAGGAAGGATTTTGAAGTAGAAGTTATCATCGTCGCGCACGAATCGAAAACCTCAGCGCTCAAAACCCTCGAAGCATTCTGGATAAACTCCAAGAAACCTAAAATGAGCTGTAGAGAGGAAGGTCTCGTTGTCATACGTGACCTAACACAGTACACAGTTAGGACTGATATGTTAGTTTGGGAGGCACATTACGCTTCCAAATGAATTCTGTGCGCTTGCTCTCCAGGAAACATGCCCAGTGGAAGACGTAGAAAACGGTGAATTTGCCTAGAAGCTACTTTGTTTCAATTGAAATCTTGGTTCAATGTGTTCTCCGTATTACGATTGATGATTGAAATCTTGGTTCAGTGTGTTCTCCGTATTGGTAGTGGAGGGGTTTGGCTTGGTAGATTACAGTTAGCTTGACCTTTCCAGGCTCTGAAGAAGGCGAAATCCGCCAAAACGTCAATTTCGCATAGTAAAGTATAAAGTAACGCCTGGTGTTTGCTCAACAAGGATATACAGAATTATATGAAGACTTTGACTTCTTCGTTAATGTTGCTTAATGATGGTCGAAATGTTTCTTCCTTGAATCCTGAGATGACTCTACCAGGGCGTTTCAGGTTATCACCGTAGGCAGTTGCAGGCATTTTTGAATAGGAGGGAGTTCTTTCCACATAACTTTCCATATAGCATCAGTTTGTCGACCACAGAGGATAGAACGATTGGTTGGCCCGGTGCGGCTTCGAACCAGCCGCAATATGTGTACTACCCAGCATTTCCATTACCACTGAGCTTTCTCTGCCTCTTCTTAATAATAAATTGGAAATGAAAATTTCGGCAAAGAAACGGATTTGGTTTGTTTAGGCCGGGTTGCCGTATTTTGAGCACGCGATAACCTTAGCTGATCTTACTGATGGCCTTCGTATGGCAACAATTATCGAGGAGGAAAAACCTAAATATGAACCAGGAGTAAAAACTGTCTATCATGTGTTAACATTCGGATGGCTAATCGATCAGGTTCGTGAATACGTTCTTTCTTCGGAAAATTTCTCAGTCTGCAATATATGACATTTTTGGTCTACCTAGCCACGTATAGTGTTAAATTTCTATATCTGAAGAATTTGTTTCTTTGGAGGTGTTCATGTGAAAGAAAAGCTGTCAAGGATCACTTAAGCATGTAGGCGTCCGACGACGAGCAATTCCTCGGGATGCGCCATGCATTCGATTCAATTCATAGCCACGACCGACTTTCTATTAACCTCGGCATTGATCAAGTGATTTTCTTGGTATTTTTGTTGAGCAAACGCGAGGTGTTACTATTCTTTGTTCACGATTAAGCTCCAAACAACACTAGGCCTCCAAACGACAACTCTAGCGATAGAAGGGTCCCGTTTATCCTAACCTTCATCTCAAATGATATAAGTACAGCTATAAAACGCTGCTTAAGAAGGGCGGGCTTAGAGAATTCGGTGAGCGTAGTTGAAATACCACCGAGTAATCTTAAGCGCCAGCTAGTTCGTAACCGCCTATATAACCGTCTATGTGCAACTCAAAATTGCATAATTTTCCCCAGTGGTAGAGACGGTGATTGCATGAGCTCGGGTATAGTTTATCTGATCTCCTGTAAGACGTGTGGTGACGAATACATTGGCGAAACGGGTAGACCCCTCTGTGTCCGCATGAAAGAACACCTAGCCGGCAAAAATAGACCAAATACCCCGCTAGGCACGCATAGGACCCAGAGACATAACGGGGACGACTTCGAAGTATGTGTCACGATCCTCGCACGCGAATCAAGAACACAGGCGCGAAAAACTCTCGAGGCACTCTGGATTAATTCCAGAAATCCGAAAATGAACCGCAGGGAAGAATGCCTCATTATCACGCGTGATATAGCGCAGTGTATAAAACTGCTTTTCTGATGTGAGGGGCACATTATACTTTCACGTGATTTCTGTGCGGTTGGTCTCTACGTGACATACTTAGTGGAAACCTCATAGAAAGTGGTGAGTGTGCAAAGCTGTGTTCAAAGTGATTGAAATCTTGGTTTCGAGTTTCTTTGTTTGGTTATGGAGGCGTCTGGCCGAGTGGATTGCTATCAACTTAACCTTTCCAGGCTCTGAAGAAGGCGAAATCCGCCGAAACGTCAGCTTAATCGTGAACAAAGAATAGTAACACCTCGCGTTTGCTCAACAAAAATACCAAGAAAATCAATTCATAGCGTCATGGAGATGGTTGTATGCCTATACAGTAGCTTGCGGAGGCTTACAGATGTACTAAGTCAATGTTTTTATCCCTTAGGCAAATCTGGCATCAAATTTGCAGCGCCGAAGAGATGGAGAGCTGGTTTTGCCTGGGGCAGGGAATCGAACCGTCGCTCACATGTACATTGTTGGGTGGATATTATCCACGGGGCCACCCTAGCCGAAACAGTAGACACATATTGCCCTTATGTGGTTACGTAAAAGCAGAATGCGGCAATTTATTCGGCTGCATATTATGTGTAGATTTCTAGTTCATTAGCTACGTTTGTTATATGTTGAAGAGCGCGTGTGGCACAGTGGTCGGAAGCGCCCTGCAACACACGTGGAATCGATCTCCGCACCCATGGCCCACCAAGCCTTCCATTCCTTCGGAGTTGGTAAATTGGTACCAGACTTGTCTGGGAGGATAGCAGCATTGGCTCGATACATCGGTAGACCACGGCGAATCATTGAAAAGGCCGGATATGTTTTCAATTACCTCCGAACGATGCTTAATGAAGTCGAATGCGTGGCGCATCCCTCAGGGACTGATCAACGCCGAGGGCTTCATTCTTTATCCTTTAGTTATGATTCAATATCTGTTTAATTTCGTGTCTATGTGATTCTATATTGTCATTTATTACGATCATCTCAAAAATTCGTAAGTTGTAAAGAGAAACAATGTTAGATTTTTGAAAATGAGCATGTGAACACAATAACGCACTGAATAACTCACTATATTGGCTCGAAAAAAATGGCAGTCTTCAAGAGTTATAAGTCTTCAATGATTTTCTAGTTCATTCATTAATCTCATAATTTTATAATTAATGCAACAATGCTACCGTAATGTGAATGATGCCGATCAATGGTGTGGTATAATCGCGCGTATAAGATCCATGATTCCATTGTAGAAAGCGTTTTTAGACAGTTCCGACGGAATATTTACGGTATTTTTCTACGAATAAGTTTTAACAATTATAATATAGAAAAAAAGATAAAGCTCTTGGCGTGGGCCAATCCCTGAGGGATGCGCCATGCATTTCACTTCGTTAAGTATCGTTGGAGGTGATTGAATGCATATCTGGTCTTCACAATGACTCGCGGTGCTCTACCGATGTATCGAGCCAGTGCTGCTATCCTCCTAGACAAGTCTGGTACCAATTTGCCGACCCCGGAGGGATGGAAGGCTTGGTGGGCCATGGGCGCTGGAATCGAATCCACATGTGTGTCGCAGTGGTGCCTCCAACTACTGCGCCACACGCACCCAATTATAATATAATATAATATAATGGCATATTATAGTAATGGAGGTAAAAATAACATATTCATAAAAGAATCAAAAAGGATGTATCTTTTGTCGTAATCCTGAGGAACGCACCATACTTTCGTTCGTTGAGCATCACTGGAGGTGATTGAATCCACATCTGGCCTTTACAATCATTCCTGGTGGCCTACCGATGTATCGAGCCAATGCTGCCATCCTACCAGACAAGTCTTGCACCAATTTGCCTACCACGGATGGAGTACTTGGTAGGTCTGCGGCGCAGTGATCGATCTCATGTGTATTGCAGACGTCTCCGACCACTGCGCTACACGCTCCCCAAGAACATATTCATTTGCGTATATACTATAAATCGGCCCTTTTGCGAAAATAACTCTAAAATGACAAAACTTTTTATTTTATTTGTAAATTTAATCTTGGTACTAACTAATCCCAGCGCTTCATCACAGTTTTGGCGGGAAAGGTCACAGTTGTTCGATTACCTGTTGTGGTGCTATGTGACAGTATGTAACGATTGTAAAGTTTAGCAAGTATTTGTCGCGAACTCGACTCGGCCAGATTCCATGCAAATGACCTCACTTCCGTATCGTAGGTCATGACTAGAACAAATCGAATGCGACGACAACGTGTCGAGGGCGATTTTTGAAATGGGACACTTTTAGTGAAGTTTGGAAAATTCCCTCATTGATGCTAAGCTATTTGCAAAACTTAACCTCAGGCCTGATTCGAAACTGCCATTACCCTTTCTGCGAGTTCACGTGTCACCCACTACATCACCGAGACCGTTATTTTGTCTTTCTCTCATACAGTTCCTTACCCCAACAGTGCCATCAAGATTCATCCATAATCGAGACTGTTCTGAAGAGGACGAATGGGCATTGAACCTAGTGTGTACCACCTGAACCCACGGAACGAGTAATCGCGGGTTTGAATCTGGCTTAGGTCCTAGTTTTGCAAGAAAAAGTTTTTCAGCATCGTTATGGTTGTTTTACCTAGTACCTTGCCGTGAAAATATAATGGGCAGATAATAAAAAGTTATACGTTGTAATTCCCTCATCATCTTCGCATCACGTAAATTAGTCGATAGGTTTGACTTCTATGATAAAACCCATTGTGATACAACCACAACGATACTCAGATATTTGCAAAACTTTTGACCGAAGGTGTCTGCGGTGGGGAACGAACGCGGTATTACCCTTTCCGGGGACTAACGCGTTCGCCACCACTCCATGTGTGTCCTTTATTTCACCTTTCTCTCAACTAGTTCTATCGACTAGTGCCGTCCTCAATCACCTGTCAACGGGATTGATCTGGCGAGCCTAAATCGGTAATGAAGCAAGTTAAACTGAGGCAGTAATCGAAATCAGAATCTTAACATTTTATTTACTCCCACGTCCGACTTCCTATTAACCTCAACATTGATTGAATAATTCTTTCTATTTCTGTTCAGCAAACACGAGGTGTTATTTTATTTCTTTATTTATGTACAAGCTGACGTTTCGGCAGATTTTGCCTTTCTCAGAGCGTGGAAAGGTCAAGTCGACTGCACTCTATACGGCTGAACATCTCCATAACCAGATAGAGAAAATGATGAACCAAAATTTTAATCACACTGAACACAGAGTCTTTGCACACTCACCGCTTTCTATGAGTATTCCACTAAATATGTCACGTGGAGACCAACCGCACAGAGTTCAAACGGAATCGTATTGTGCCCATCTCATCAAAATAACTGGCTTATATATTGCCCAATATCATGCGTGATAATGAGGCATTCCTCCTTGCGGTTCATTTTCGGATTCTTGGAATTAGTCCAGATTGCCTCGAGAGTTTTGTGCGTTTGTGTTCTCGATTCTTTCGCGAGGATCGTAACCCCTACTTCAAAATCTTCTCCGTTATGTCTCTGCGTCCTATGCGTGTCTAGTGGAGTATTTGGTTCAGGTTTGCCGAGTAGGTGTTCTTTTATACGCACGCAGAGTGGTCTACCCGTTTCGCCAACGTATTCGTCCCAGCACGCTTTACAAGAGATCAGATAGACTGTAGCCGAACTCATGCAATCACCTTCTCTACCGTTGCTGCAGGTTATACAGTTTTTCGTTGTACACAGGCGGTCATATAGGCGGTTGCGAACTAGCTGGTGTCTTAGTATTTCTATCACTCTTACGGATTTCTCTAGACCATCCCTTCTTAAACAGCGTTTTATAGCTGTACTTACTTCATTTGAAATAAAGGGCAGTATAAACGAGACCTTATTGTCGCTGGAGTTATCGTTGAGGGCCTGTGGTTTCCTCTATACCTATCCCGAATTACAGTTTCGTAGCCATTAAAAATGGCTATTTGCCGTACCAAGTTTCAGTTCCAGATTCAAGTTTTGAAATGGTATCGAAAGCCAAGTAGTAAAAACATCTTGGTTCATTACCTTTCCTCTCACCCCTCTTACACGAAAAGCGCGCTTGTGAGAAACATGTTTCGGACAGCAACCAACGTGTGCACGGGAAGAGAGCAGAGAGAGGAGTCCCGGAACTTGGCACGGCAAATAGCCG